AGACTTGTCACTCACTCACCCACTCACCACTACTGGTAGCAGTACTCTATCACACACACACAACTACTGATGCAAAAACAATGCAGACAGCACTACTACTACCACTACACAGATGATGTTTACATATTCACTGTGTGCGTGTGTGTGTGAATAATCAAAAGTATATTCGAGAAAGGAGAACCAATCAACAAAGAGCGAACATATTCAACAAAACCTATAGGTGTATATATCAAACTTCATATTATTATATGTATGTATGCAGGTATGTTTGTGGATATATATATATAATTTAGCATCACTTTATTGTGTGTGTGAGACAGAGAGATTACTTGGCATATTTGACTAGCAATCGTTGTGTTACTGTAGGCTGGCTGGCTTGGTAGGCAGGCAGGCAGACATGGCGGGGGGGGGGCGGGGCGAGGACGGACTCGACAAGGAAACCCAATGGAAAATAATAATAATACTAGTTAGTTAGTAAAGTATTGAGAAGCGCGCGATAAGCAATCACAAAACGAAACGTGAGTGGTTGTGTGTGCGTGTCGGGGGGGGGGGTGTTGTTGTTGCGGAGAACATATATATCCTTAATGATGCGGAGAGAGACAGACAGAGAGAGCGAGAGAGAAAGTGCAAAAAAGGCAAACTGGCGGCGGCGCACTGTTGTATATAGTATAGTATAATATTTGAAAACATTGATTGATGAGAAAAAATTTTTTCTCTCTCTAAAAAAACAACCAAAAAGAATGATTGATTATTTCAAGGAAGAATTCGTTGCACACACACACGCAAACTCAAATGGTTAGCAGAGACACATACAGAGGGACAGGGAGACCGCGAGAGAGAGAGATTATTTTGAAAAGACAGACTGTTGTCCTTCTTAATGCGCTATGCATATTTTGCTGGAGCTTGAAGACCAAGTGGATTTCAGACGTGTTGAAAATGCGCTGTAATGTAATAAAAACAATAAAATACATATTTAAAAGAAAGAAAATATTATGACGCACAAAATATAAAGCAAAGTCACGGCTTGATATCATCAACCAGGGAGCCACTGCGAAACCAGAGAGGAGTGTATTGGACAGTAGGACGTCTCGTTCTAGTCTGCAACACTTCAGCAATGTGCGCACACATACCATGCCGGGAATAGGACGAGGCGAAGCTCGTCGGCCATCCGGCCACTTAATAATTGAGCTGGAATTCAATAAATGATGAAATTTGTATGGTAAACGACCTTGGCCTTGCGCAACCTGAAGATTATGAGCTTGATCCCTGTTGAGATCGTGAGTGTCCCGAAGCACATCGAAAGACATGTCCAGTAGTCCCTGATTTCCAACAGTTTCCTTGATGATAACAATGTACGACCAAACATGGAGTAAATTGAACCCCAACAAAACATCAACATCCTAACTGTTAAGTTTGATTTTCATAGACACACGGTTCAGAGATTTGATGCGTCAGAGGAAAAGCACTTCCAACAACCTGTGGCAAACTTTCGTCAACAGCTGCCATCGCTGGCAGGATAGACACCACGGAACTCAACTCTAACTAACAATGAACCAATGAAAAACGTATTGCTCAACAAATAAGCAGAAGAAAAGGGAAATCTATCCGGCATATGCTGAGGAGACCTTCACATGGCACCACATGCTAAACCATCACTCGAGTGGAATCCGAATGGGAAACAATGAGTTGGTCGTAGTAAATATGAGGTAGTTATGGAGGCGGTCGTGTAAACAGATAAAAAAGCTCATGGGCAATTGTGGAGTCAGTGATGATAAAGGACTGCAGGGAACAGGATGAAATGGAGTTGTTCTTTTGAAGCTGTGTTCCACTCGGGGCCTGAAGGAATAAAATGATGATAATAATACACATACACCACGTGGTTCCCTTGAGAAAAACGCAATAAGGCAGTAAAGACCTCATTAGCGGAATAAGTAAAGACAAGATAATTTCATGGAGAAATAATGAGACGTTAACAGATTTAGGAGAGTATAAAAACGAGAATACATATTTGAGCCATTTCATCACCGACAGCCTTCAGGCATTATTGATTGATTCCTAGCATTCCGAGGCCCGACCGAAAGCTGCTACCTTGACGTGGTGGTCGGGCTTGCATATCGCAATGACCCAACGAGCTACATTGGCTGGAACTTAAGTTCCTGTAGGTCCTACTATGCCAGAAAGGTTGTTTGGATAGCGGTTAGACAAAAAGCAGCTACCCAAACCAATGCCATGACTCAAACAAAAACACAAAATATCATGCCGGATCGGTCGGGGCCCGGATTAACAACGACCGCGCTTCCTGTTGCCGTGTCACAGGGCAGAAGTGATAAATACGCTACTGAGACACACCAAATGAAAAAGAACAAACAAAAACAGGCCATGTGTGACCGGCCTAAAGCAGTTGTCCCCTGGGCTCTGCGGTCAGGCAACCAACTTCGACGGTGTGGGCAGCCGGGAAGTAACAATCGCCCTCACAATCCGAAGTGCACGCGAAACCTCTCTAATCCTCACTCACCTTTGTCTTCATCTTCATCTCTATTATCTTGCCTTCCTTCTACTAATGCAACTCTACTTGATGGCCCTTCACTTCCTCTTCAATCTGTGTGCACTGAAAACGACGGAAGCCAAAAAGCCACCATCGATAGTCTCCTAAAGCCACGCCACCAATTTCATATAGGGGCATTTAACGTTAGGACACTTTGCCAAATACGACAACAGGCATCACTAGCCAAGACTCTGGCATCCCGAGCCATTGATGTATGTTGTGTTTCAGAAACACGCATACAAGACCCAAGTGTGGTTATTCACCTAACCCCACCTGGCCAACAGGATGAATCTGCAAAATTCACCTTGAGGGTGTCAGGAGATGCGACGGCTAGCTCACGAGGATTAGCTGGTGTTGGGATAGCTTTAAGTACTAGGGCAGAAAAGACATTACTTGACTGGATCCCGGTAGATAGCCGAATGTGTGCTGTCCGTCTGAACGGATCAGTGAAAAGGAGAAAGGACTGCACTACTCGCCGATGCCTTTTCGTAATCTCCGCCTACGCCCCCACTGACTGCAGTTCGGATGAAACGAAGGATGAGTTCTACCAAAAGCTGTCTAGTCTGCTGCGTAAGGCTAAACGCTCAGATATAGTCGTTTTAGCTGGTGACTTTAATGCTCAAATAGGGAAATTGTGTCAATCTGAGAAGAATGTCGGTGGCACATACGGAATTCCGTGCCTGCGAACCGACAACGGTGACCGTCTCCTACAGTTCTGTTCAGATAATCATTTGTTTCTTGTAAGCACTAACTTCAAACACAAGGACAGACACTGTTTGACCTGGCGACCCCCATCATCAAATCAACGCTGGACACAAATGGACCACATAGCAATAAGCTATCGTTGGCGTGGGTCGGTAGGAGATTGCCGCTCCTTCTGGAACACGTGTGTAGATACCGATCACGCACTGGTCCGCGCTCGTGTGTGCTTACGACTGAACGGACGTAGGAAAAAGCTGGCGGTAAAACCATCACGTCCCCAGCTCGATCAGCAAACTAAGTCCCTATTTGAGGAAGAACTAGCTAAACACATATCTGAGTTTGACAGCTGCGCTCACCCTGAAGAAGCCTGGAAGAATATTCAATCAGCCATAGATACAGCTGTAAAAGCTGTGAATAAGGTAAATCCAAAGGTGAGTAGAAACCATTGGATTTCGACTGCCTCATCCGAACTGATAGATGCTAGAAGACTTATTCCGGCGAGCTCCGAATTCAATGAGGAGCGAAAGCTGCACAAAAAGAAACTTACGAAAAGTCTCCGCAAGGACCGTGAACAGTGGTGGTTGACAAAGGCGAAAGAGATGGGAAAAGCATCGGCGATAGGCAACACCAGACAACTATTCAGGCTTATCAGGGAAACAGGTGGTAAAAAACAAATGATAAGCGAAACAATCTCCGAGAAAAATGGCACCATAATTAGCTCCCAGGATAGACGTCTGGAGCGCTGGAAAGAACACTACGAGGAGCAGTTTAATTGGCCCACATCCACACTTATCCTGCCGGACATCCAACACCTCCCTGAATGGGATATAGACACAGGTCCTCCGTCCTTAACCGAGGTTACTAGAGCAGCCACTAATCTGAAGCAAGGCAAAGCAGCGGGACCTGATTTATTGACTCCAGAGGTATTTAAGTATGGTGGAGACAGTTTACTGTCTGCGTTAACTGAGGTTCTAGGCAGCGTCTGGGAATCAGAGGAAGTCCCATCGGGTTGGTGTAAGTCACTGATCATCCCGATATACAAGAAGGGAGACAAGTCTTCTTGTGATAATCACAGAGGCATTAGCTGTCACTCAGCCTGCATCAACAACAAAATTCGGATTCTCAATACAAACGTCAAGTCACTTCTTCTATACGGATCAGAAACTTGGCGGGTCACAAAGAATATTTCCAACAGCCTGTTGCAGAGCTTTATAAACAACTGTCTTCGCTGGCTCTATACTGAAGATCAGATGGCCGCCGGAAAGAATCACCAACAAGAAACTATGGGAACAAACAAAACAAGAACCAATCGCCCAACAAATATGCAGGAGAAAGTGGAGATGGATTGGACACTCGCTGAGGAGGCCACTGGGTGACGTTGCGCGTCAGGCCAACGCTCGAGTGGAACCCGAAAGGGAAGCGGCGACTGGGAAGTCTAAGGGTGACATGGAGGAGATTGTGTGAAGAGAAGTTGAAACAGTATGGACTAACATGGATGCAAGTGCAGTTGAAGCCCTATGTTCCACTAGGAACCCAAGGGAACAATAATAATAATAATATAACTCTTCACCAATCTAACCATATGCCGCCGTCGCCAGTGAACGTGCACAATCATGATGTTAGTTACCACTGCAAAACAAACAAGGTGAGCAAATAAAATAACACCAATACACCAATATATAGTCACATACCATCATAAAAGTAGACTGATTGATGCATATATATATATATATATATATATATATATATTTCATTAGACAAGATTATATTCTTTCAAATTTAACTGAAGTATTGTATCCTTTACAGCAGCGAATACAAATCGGATATTCTCTGTATCTGTAGCACATGTGAAATGTGAGTAGATGATCTTTTCAGGATCCGGATTCAATTCAACAAACATTTTTAAAATGAAATCACGTGCAGCTTCAGCATCACGTTGAGGACCTAGACACAGAGAAAATCAAATCAATTAATAACACACAGAGAATTACAAACACATACACACACACACACAGGTACGTTACAATTACGCTGAACAAATATGAAGAGGACAAAAAAGTTTTTACTCGTGCCTGTGTTAAACCTTGAATCAAAATCATAATATGAAAACATCTTATAATGTAGACACCAGTGAGTGAGGCGACAATACAATACACAATGTTATTTCGAAGATTTGTAGAGTTCAGGTGTTGTTGTGTTCCCAGGCAATATATACCTGCTAACCTGACATGGTGGTTGGGTGTGCATATTGCAATGACCCAACGAGTATGAAGCGAATGTTCTAGACGGTACTAACACGTCAGAAAAGTCGTTTGGATAGCGGCTATCTCCATATAGTGTAAGTCGCGCACACTATGTTGGGAGTTGGATGGTGAATTTGTACTTTTGACAAATAGGAATGTGACATCTATAAGGTGTGTTTCCTTCAGATGACCACAGGAAGCAAATTGTACTGCCTTTCCCCTCCTCTCCTCTGTACAAGTGGGTTACAAAATGTTGACTCCGAAAATAGTGTATCCAAAAACACCTTGCGGCAGTTTGAAGTCAACGCTATGGACACAACTCTAGGAATTAAGTCAAACACAGACCTGATGTGTTACCAGCTTCAAGAAGTTGTCCCCTTGAGCTCTGGGGCTACGGCGACACACTGTTTCAGTTTATTCGAGAAATTTCTGCCTCCTTTGATGAGTTGGATAATCGAATTGCAAAGGTTTCGCTATCTTTCTAGTCAACATACTCAACGCCAACTTCAAAATGAAGCTCATAGAAAACAACACAGGGTTGTCACCCATACTATTTAGCTACGCCGACAGTGAGACTCGAAACCATCGTTTAAAACGACAATGTCTAACCCCATTAAGCACCGAACCGCCGACAACCAGCCGGCCAGCTACCCATATGCAACGAGTATCAGCTACAGTTAGGACAAAACGGGTGTCCTGGGTTCCGCAACTAATAACTAATTAACGAATGTAAGCTATCATTTTAGGAGTTTTACCAGGAGGAAAAAAGGCTTTTGCCTAGATACAGAGCATTGAGAACGCATATTATCAATCAAAAACCTAAACCGAATGCAGTATACATGCATATTTCTTTCCTTCACGTTCCTAGTGGAACATAGGGCTTGAAGTGGGGCTTCGAAGTTTCGGCTGCCGTGGGGTTTATTTTTACGGGGTGGGTTAGCCAGCCTAATACTCAACCTTCCCTCTTTACCGGTCTAACTAGCGTCTAGGAGTGTGTCGACCGGGGATAGAAACCCATACCACATACGTGGCTGACAAACGCTCTAACGCTGTATCACCGACGCACAATGCAGTATATAGGGAATGTAAATTGATTGCTAATAAAAGTAGATAACGATGTGTAAACTGAATATATACACCACACTGTCGATCACGTCTAAATATGCTGGAGTAGAACCTCACCACCCCGCTTCCCAATCTTTCAGTTAGTAGCTCCACAATACACAAGAAATACAAAAAAGAATGAATTTATTCTATATAAGCCAGAAACAAGGCAATTAGTCAGTCGACTCACCATCATATTCTGGGAAATAATCAACTAAGTGAGAGTAAAGAACTTTCTCTTCCAACAGATCTTTCTTATTCAAAAACAATATAACAGATGATTCTTGAAACCATGGATAAGTAATGATTGTTCTGAAAAGAGCTTTACTTTCTTCCATACGATTCTGTGAGGAGAAAGAAAGGCAAACAAAATAATTAATAGACAGGAAACCACCACTATCGGGGTCAAAATAGTACAATAGTTGTAATGCATTAACTTTTTATTTACTTGCTCATTTATACAACACCTACCTAAGTAGGAAGGGAGGGTGGACGGGCTGGTCCCTTTTTGAATGTTACTTAAACGAAGGAATTTCAGGTTCAACACCTGACAACTTCTACTTAATTCAGATAACAGCAGAACCATCTTACAGGGGTACCAACTTTCCAGCAATCTGGTGTTAAAAGCGTATTTACTGAGAGAGAGAGATGAGGCTAATCAAAATGTGTGCTGTGCAGCACAGTTCGTTCTGTCCTAGTTTATTGGTTGTGAGACATGGTCATTGGAAGTGAAAAATTCAGAAAATGCTGGGCTGGTTGTCTTTGACCAGAGAGGATTGCGTCCTATCTTTCGTGGTGAGTAGCATACATATGATGAGTAATATTGAGGTTAAGCATAGAGTATTGGATAAGGAGGGTGAGGTATATTTACAGAGACGGCTGGGACACGTGTTGTGTATCCCAAGTCATCACCTCCTTCGACCAGCAATGGAGAGATGACATCCGATTAGGTTTGAAAAGAGTTAGAGGTGGTTAAACCAAAACCTAGAACCAGTCATTGAAATATTTTTCAGTTGGTCTGAGCCAGTAGAGTGGTCGGAGTCCGTGGGATTCTGAGAATCAACAGCTGAAGGCTACCGGTGATACGGTTCAAAATCATTGTCAATGATGACGCAGATGCATTCACTTGTTTAGTGGTAGGTAGGTAGGTGCGGCGGGGGGGGGGGGGTAGCTGTGGAATTCGAAACAAATATTTAACATCTCAAGTTACTTTACTAATCCTGATAATGCATCTAGGCATCTTGTTCAAAAAGCTCATATAACAAAATAAGGCTGATCAACTCTTCCGTTGTCTGTCTGTCTGTATTCGACATAGAACTTTGCACCGATGTGCGGCAGTTCAAGTCGCCACACTCCATGTAGCACACAAATCAAGAGAAGAAATACATAATATAAACAGTAAACAGAGGTGAGAGACAAAGGAATAGTAGTAACGAAGAACAATATAGTTTCATTGGAAATCATAAGTCACAAGGAGTGGATGCATCTGCGCCATTGAGAACGGTTTTGAGCCATGTCACCAAATGTTTCCAACCATTGGCTTTTAACGTCCCAAGGACCGTAACCAGGAAGCTAGTCTACACCTTCCTACGTGGCAAGCTTAAACTAACTGTTGTGGATTTCATTGACTGATGAAACCATGTTTTAGTTTGTCCACCATTGGCTAACTCTTTTCCAACCCCATCTATCTTATGTCAGCTACCATTGCCTGTTGATGAAGGCGACGACTAGGCATAGGTAACACATGTCCTAACTATCTCAGTCGATATACCTTCACAGCCTCGTCGATTGATTTACGCTCTTAACCTAGCACTCGACGCCTAACGTCAATATTGCTCACCTTATTATACCACTTCACACGGGAGACAGAACCCAGACACCTATGATCAAAGACAGCTAATCTTTTCATGTCTTCCACTCTCAATGGCCAGGTCTCAAAGTCATAAAGGAGGACGGAGCGGACAGATGAGCAGTATACACGCACTTTGGTCGATAGCCACTCGGATATCACGTCTACGCGAGAGACGGCGTAAACTGGCATATTCGAAACTAGCCCTATGTATCCGTGCTGAGATTTCGTCAGAGATCAACCCGTTGGGGCTGATGGTACTTCCCAAATAAGTGAAGATGTCAACGTGCTCTACCACTTCACTCCTTATTTCTAAACTAGGAGTCAGTGTAGTCTAGTCCCGTAACATCATCTTACATTTGGCGGGAGCGAATCGCATGCCAAACATTCGTAGATTGTAGCTCAAAGTGTTCAGAAGAACTCTTCCATTGAGAAGAAAAGGCGTCCTGACTAACGCTTACTTAATAACAACCATCAAGACGACTGTTACACATCACACAATAGGCATGATATAATGACAAGCTTTTTTACGATGCACCAGCATTTCGATGTTAAGATTTACATTGAATAGTTCCTGGTGTTCGAAATCGCATCCAATTATTCAGGAAGTTAGTTTGAATTTAACCAGTTGACAAGTTTGAATGGTAAAAGGTATTTGAGCTTCTAAACAAAATTTACAGCAACTTTCGATGAATGCCGGAAATTTAGTCTAGATTCTAAAAATGACACACACACACACACACACACAACACAAAATGGACATGGGTGCGAGTCACCATCTTCTTCACATCTCTATAATGTAATGGAAATCTAATATCTACAGGCTGAAATCTTTTTAATAATAACAATAGTAATAACAAGAATTATATAGAATGGAATTTTCAGTTTTTTTAAGACATATTACAGAAATTTAGCTCCCTTCATAGATATGTAGATACATAAGATTTAAAAATAATAATAATAATAACAAAACCACAAAAAACTGAAAGTTGACGGAACATAATGAATTACAAATAAATAATATAATATATAATACATGTAATAATAATAATAACAATCCTTGCTTATACTTTGCAGTTCAGATTACTGATTTAAAAAGTTTATATTGTTCCTTTCTGAAATCTGACTCTCCACACAAAACCCACTGCTAAATATGATGGTATGGTAGAATTTTTATATATAGTAGCTGTACGAACGTAAATTCTTATGAAGTTTCTTCTGGTTTCACTCCCGAAGTGAGATACAAGGAGAAAAGGTTTCGAATAAAGAGGATGTCCAGTATCCAGACAAGAATTAGATAACTTTAGCTAATTCTAACTACTTAAAAGAATTAAAATCCCCATCAACAAACAACAATGTCAGTTGGTTGAGTCAAAGACACACACACACACACACAGCCTCCAATGCTATACCTACCTAATATGATGTAATCCTTTTTGAAAAGTCCAAGGAAGAATAATTGGGGCAAACAATAAAGGAGAATGGGCTAAATACATGAATATTAATAAATTGTAAGAGTGGATGGAGGGTTTCATCATGAGCTGACATCAGTTAGACAACCACTGGAAAACCCTGGAGTACTGGATAGCTGTTTCCATTGTTCTAGTTTGGGACTCTTTAATGAGTGAGTCGGCCGGGAATCGAACCCCGGACCATGCGCACGGTCGGCGAGTGTCCTAACCGCTGTGTCACCGACGCTGTCCAGCACTCCCAGGTTTTCCAGTGGTTCTCTAACTGATGTCAGCTCATGATAAAATCCTACATCCAATCAAACTAAATCCCTACAAAACAACGAATACTTGAAAATTGTAAGGGAAGAGGTTGAGTTGAGTTATACCAGCAGAAAATCTCAACTCCTTTATATATATAACAAGTCAAGTGAGAAGATTTCTTAGAAATCAATAGGATATGAGACGATGACTAACAGAGATTTGAAGAGAAACTGATGCTGGAGTTAGCAGAGATATTCGATTTCCGCCCTATGATCGATCACAGTGCCATGAATATTACAGGAATTATGGGAGGACTGAATCAGTCCATGCAAGTCTTGTTATTCGCATCTTAGGTAATGGGATTTCTTCTTCTGGCTTTGAGACATAATGCTATTTACTAAAATTAACAAATTCATAACTAATGGTCATAATAATAATAATAATAATAATAATAAATAGTAATCCACGGAATACACTTTTATTGAAACATAATTAAATGAAGAAAATTTTACTTTAATTTTGAATGAAGATCGTGCTTTCATTTCCAAACGAAAATCATTTATCAATCTCTAAAAGTGATCAACAGAATTGGGGTGGCACACATGTGTCAATGGGATTAGAAATATAGGTAAATATAGAGGGAAAACAAATAACCATCTACCACTGTTTCTGGGTATATAAGTACACCAAAAAAAAGGTATCGGGTGGGAGTGAGGTGGGTGGGTATAGATAAGGAAATTAACGTCGGTTTCACAAATTTACCACTGTCTGAAATGATTTATGTGATGGGATCCACTTTCACCTTAGCTTTCAAATCACTACTGCTACTACTGTACAAACAAACAAAACATTTACAACCGGATCATCGCTTGCTTCCATCGCACCACTCCCATATGCACAGTTTGTTTCATCATAGCAAGCCTGCCTTGAAATCCTACCAGTGTTACATTACAACCCACAACAAATAGATTATAAACTCATCTTATACACATGAAGTTACTGACAAGTAACGTTGTAGTAAAAAGAAGCCTATGGATTCAGAAACAGAATCTTAGGTATTCTACGAATAGAAGACTAGATTATTCTTTTCATATATTGATCTGACTGAACTCTTTAAAAAGGAGCGCACCAGTTCACGTCACCGCGCTATGCATATATACATGCATAACACACAAAGGTAGAGAAAACAGTTCAAAGGGACGCAAATATATGTAAGAAGGAATAGTTATATGGTGAACGATGAGGACTGAGTCTGGGTCCTCTTCTCTGGGTCTAAGAGACTACATTACAGAGAGAGTAAATGCACCTGTGTTATTCATCAGAACAGCTTGGAGTCATATCTCCGACCATTGATTCTCCTGTACCTACGTGGTTGACTTAAACCAATTACTAAAGACTTCCGGGACTGATGTCAGCTTTTCATTTGACCACTCTCCACCCCCCGGTTATGTTAGCTAACCGTATTCTTCGAGGAAGGTGGAAACTCGGCATGTGTCCTAGCCATCTTAGCCCATATAGTTTTACAACCTGATCGATTGACTTACCCTTCTTACCTAACATACCCTACGGCTAACCTCGATAGTATTCATCAGACATCATACCACAAATATTTGTGATCAAAGACAACCAGTCCTTGTGCATATCTTCCATTTTCAACGATCAAACTGTATAAAATATACATGGGATAAGAGCCACAACAAATATGTAATAAACCAAGTTCTTTATAACCTTAACAGTTTAGTACACATGTGGTGAGTGCTACTTATACTCAGATATAATTAGTATTATATCAGTAAACGAATTCAGAAAGGCAACAATGTGCTTTGGGACAATGGAAAAAGCAATAGAAGAAGAGAAGTGTGAGAAGAACGTTAGAAACACTGTGAAGAACCATCCAACAAACTATCGAAGGTGGTGATATTCAACCAATTTGCAAATGATGTGCAAATAGACTTAGTGAAGATAAGGTATACGCCTACAATGTGTTTATCCTAATAAACATTGCCTTCGAGCCTCATCGATCTTTTCTTCTTTACACACATATAAAACAGACTATGTAATACAACTTGTTCGCAACACTTTGGAAGTGTGCTCTTTATATAAAAGAGACTTGAGTATACGTGAAACAGGGGGATAATCAAACTCACTTCAGACTATCATAACACAAAAACACGCAAACACACACACACACACTCACATAAACTAATCTCTTTTTTCCCATGACGTTCGACACGATATAATTTGAATAGTGCAAAATGAAACTTATTCAAAACTTATCTCAATGAGAGAGAGAGAAAAGGAGATATTATAAGATTTACACACACGCACTCACACACCTTCACAATGTGAACATACACACATCACAAGACTGACTGACTGACTTACCTCATTATCAGATTCCACTAAAACTTGATCATACTCTGACAAGGCGACTAGAAACATAATTGATGTAACACTTTCAAAACAATGGATCCATTTTCTACGCTCAGAGCGTTGACCACCGACATCAACCATTCTAGTTACAAAAATAAAAAACAAGTTAATTAGCATTTGTATATTATGAAATATAATTAAAATACACACACATATATATATACAGGAGAAAATAATAATTGCTTACTTTGACATTAAACATCAAATTATCAGTGAGTCTTAATTATTTTTGTTTTTAGAAAACTGTATCTCCGTAACTTTGAAGATGAGCCGTAAATTAGGATAGGTACTCGTCGAGTGGGGGGGACTCTAACGGGAAACGACGAGTTAGACACCCGAGAGTGATGTGGAGGAGAGATCGTGTGAAGAGGATATGAGAGCTTATTATGGGCAATCATGGAGTAGTGGACACAATCAGATCCACTGCAATTTAGAAAGTAACATGCTTCAGTGACCTACGCACCGTCTAATGACTACACACTTATTAGTTAGTCAATTGCTTTTCAAATTAAATCTATTGTATTCGTGATGTGGACCAAGAAAGTGGTGACTATATATCATTGATAGAACATTGACATAATCAAAATTAACGAGTGTTTCACAGAAAGAAAAAAGCAATGACTGTAACTCATTTTTCCTGTTAAACCTCAATCACCATCCATTTACAAAATATATCTTTTCAAGACAGCCTCATTACATGCGCATAAAACTAAACAAACTAAAGTGATCGCAGAATTCTTAATATTCATCATTATAGTGACTCATTAGTTCGCTACCGTAGTTGATTCCTAGAACAACCTGGTAATGCTAAGGATGAGGATGACTTCGTTCTTCCACTAGAAATACTTACATGTTCCCAAGCGCTCACAACCTCTACCATCAGGTAAGTCCTTTTCACTACCCTCACGAGCCACGAGGGTGTTCCTCATAAAAGTGAAAGGGTGAATGAGAACGTCTGGCGCTTACAACCCCCACTGGTGGAGATTCAGGTCCACCTAGTTAAGGGAACTGGAAAACCCTGATGGTAGTCTATGTGGACTTCAAAATCCGAAAGGATCGAATGACGTATGGACCTGTTTTTGCCACCAGAAATCATGGCAACGTAGCTCCTGACGCTGCTCCACTGCCTTGTAGGTCAGAATTCAGGTCTAAGTCTACGGATATGACCCCTTAAGACAACCACCTGCTAAGGTCTGTGCTGTTGTGCAGTACTTCAGCCCTCTTACAAACTATGAGATTTTGTGTGGCACATCTGATAGTCCCCATAATGTACGATGTTTGAATTTCAATAATACAATAATAATGATTACTGGAAAATGGTTTTTAAACACAACCACTTCAACAGTTGCATATAGTTGTAAAAATAAAAATATCGTCTTGAAAAAAAAGCTTACCGGAATATAATCGAATCCAGATCAAATAAGTACTCTACAATACCTGTAGTTGGGACTCGAACTCTGAGGATATCCTGTAGAGTCGGTAAATAGTCTGGTTGGGAGATTCGATCAAGATTGTCTAGATAGCTGTGTATAAATAAATCAAGAGGTAAAAGAAAGGAGAAAAATAGATCAGTATAAGACTGTAGACAAAGTGTAGACCATGGAGAGAAGCGAAAAGGGTAAGAATTGTTTATTACATTATGCATGTTAAGTTCTCTGACCTTGGTAAATATGGAGATTTAACGAGCTATGAAATACAAGAATTTATGCTACTTTCAGCAAACTCTAATAAGTAATTTTCAAAATGCTGAATTCGATTTTATTGAATATGAATGCTTTAACGTCATTAAACAGCTATGGTTTTTAGTGGTTTTGACATTTGCCGTACACGTTAGTATTACTGCCTAGCCTGTAATTCATTTGCAATAAGCATGGCATACAGTATTAATCTTCCTTATTGATTCGTCTATTGTGAAATATACGTTTATTTCGGGGGGGGGGTGTATCAGAGCTACTAAGCATTATATAACTTTACACTGTGGCTTTGGTGGATGTAGAAAAATATCCGTATATGAGTCAGTAGGGTGAACAACTGCTGAACCAGTTACATTCAAGGTTACATGGAGGAAACCTTTAAACATGCAGATACTACTAACACTATTAAACTTCATTCTTCACGGCTTTAAGAGGCTTTCAATATGCATATATTCACGCAAAAAATGAGGACATGGGGGAATTTCAACAACAGTTTGCATAAACTTTCGGAGAAATTATATATTGAAGATGAAGAAAACATGTATTCTTCAGACCTAAAAACTGACTGACTGGTTTCAATGTAGAACCACCTTGCACAATTAGTTGTGCAGTTGTTTAACTTGCCACACTCCCTCCATGTAGCACACACAAAGCAAAACAACAGAGTAAAGACAGATTCAAAAGAGAAATGATAAACAGAAGTGTAAAGGAAAAAGAATAGAAGTATGGAAGATCAATAGGATTTTATTGCATATGACAAATTACAAGGAATGAATACATCTGCGCCAGTCATCGAGAACAATTTTGAGCTATATCAACGATAAGTGTTTCCAGTCTTCATTGATTCTTACCATCCCGATGACTCCAACCAGCCACACAGTCTACACCTCCTCACGTAGCTGACTGGTACAAACATTGACTGGTGAAGCCATGTTTTGGTTTGCTCACCACTGCGTCTTTTCTAACCTGACCCATCGTGTCATCTAACGCTGCCCATCGTCGAGGAAGGTGATGGCTAGACATGCGTGACACATGTCCTAACCATCTCTCTCAATCGATGTAACTTCACAACCTAGTCGATTTATTTCCCTCTCCCACCAACCTAACTACCTAGCACTCAACTGATGCCTCACCTCAATACTGCTCACTACATTGTACCACCTAACACAAGATAGAACGTAGACACCTATGATCAAAGACAGCTAGCCTGTCTTTTCATATCTTCCACTTTCAATGGCCAAGTATCACTCACAACCAAAAAGGAGGGACAGAGCGAACTGGTGCTGAGTAGTACACACGTCCTTTGGTCGACAGCTAGCCAGATATCACGTCTACACCAGGGATGGTGTAGGTTAATTGGCATATACTAAACGAGCCTTCTGTATTCAGACCTGAAGACTCGACTTCCTCCTGCTGATCAGATACTGATGAAAACATGACAAAATGAGGACAAAAAATATGTTAGATAATGTTAAAAGCAACAACAACAACAACAACAAAAAGTCTACTCACTATTTAGCTGAATCTGTCAACTGGTATTCACGACGACGATCATAACACTCTTTTATTCCAGGATCATCCCATAATGATTTAATGGCTACAACATGCTGAGGTTCCATAGTGGTGACAGTTTCATAATCGATCTCACGAATTGCTTCGGCATACGACTGAAATCATTTTGAACAAAAAGTTAACATTTGCTTGTATGAATAATTAGTACGCGTTATATCATAACAGATGAGGGGAAAAAACGAAATTAGCCTATGAATCATTACGTAACTAACAATAAAAGACGTTAAAATTCGAATGACGGTGGGCAATGCACAACATAAACAGATATTAAGCTAATGTCTCTTCCTATGAATAAGACTGCACATTACTTCTAGCTGCTGCAACACAGAATGAGCGTTTTGCAGGTGATAAAACACCTTGAACATTACATATATACCAGTCAAGATAGCTGGGATATGAATGAATCCATAAATACTGACAACATAAAATATTTGAGATGTTAACAACAATTGAAAGTACTATCAGACAAATTTTATTTGACAAGGCAGATCTTATGTTATCATTTATATCTATTTTAGATTGGACACTAATCCCTAACTAATGTGTCCAGTCCTATCTTTGGTGCGAAATGAATTCTATCAGTCACATTTGCAATGTGGCCACAATGCCACTAGGTGGTTCACCATCACGGTGCACTGTGAATTGTTCATATTAGATCGTTGGAGGCAAACTTGACTAATAGAATTCAATCTGCACCAAAGACAGAACTACACACACACACACACACACATTACACTAGTTACTGACTAGTGTCCAATCAAAAATAATATCCAATACAGTCCTACAGGAGGTCAATTGCGACTCTTATCAGCTTAGTGGTAACATCGCCTCTGACTGCAGTACTGGTTGGTGACGCGGGTTCAAATCTCAGAAGCATGGACATGAGTGCCTTCAAGGTTGCACATACACCTTGCTGACTGACTGGTGAGTGCCAACTAGCACGAAACTTAGGTCAGAGAAGGCTTCTTGCCAATCGATGGCCTCCAACCATCTAATATTTAAAAAATTCATTTATATCTACATATATTCCCATCTTACGAGTGATTTCTACAGGTGAACTGAAGACATTAGTGTAGGAGGTAACTAGATGTACACTTGTATGACTCATAAATAGGGGGTGCAATAATTGGTTTTAGCATTTTTTAATGCATAGTGTTTAAAACTTAATGATACGGATTTAACATTGAAGAATTTCGCTTTAAATCACCAGTACAACCTAATCAATAGTAATAAATAGATTTTTTTATAGTATATCATATACAAAAATAAGTCCATGATTTATCAGGCATTCTAACCTTGTTTGCTGGGTTTTCATACGGAATTTTCAGGCTTTCTACAGCACGAATCATTGTAAACATAGCCATGTAGATATTTTGATAGACAATTTTAATGAAAGTTCGTCTCTCGTCATCCGAATAACCAGCACCATGGATAATCCGCATTTGTTTAATGAAGGTACTTTTTCCAGACTCACCGGTACCTAATGAAAATAATTGTGGATGAAAGTTATGAAATTAGGTAATGTGTTAACAAGCTATGATTGAGCCATTCTACTACCATATAAAAGTTAATACAAATTCATGCTTGATTATTACTAAGTAACAGAATTTGTATTTATGATTTTATTATCTTCGGCATAATTCGATAATGACATTTTTGCTAATAATTATTGTGATGTTACATTGTAAGACGTGATGGGAAAATACACAGCATTACATTATTGACTGAATGAACTTTAGGCTACGCTACTAAACACGAAGTGCTTAGTGGAGGATTAATGTGACGAGATTAAGCATATGTAAGTCCATGATCAAGGTTAATTATTTATCGACACTCGCAGTGGATGAAATATTAGTCTAATAATCTTCCAGAATTATCGTAACCAGTTATAGTTTACAGTCCAGTGTACGGAGTTGTAAAAATTGAGTTGCATCTTTAGATAGGTGTAGTCGAATAGGAGACCAACGGAAACACTCGTACGATAGTCACTACAGATAATCTCACAAATTCACACAGGATGTATTACAGACTGGGCCACTAACTGCGTAAAATCTAGTAAAATTATTTGGCTACTTAGGCCCCCATCACAATAGGAAAAATCAAAAGTTACCTGCTAAATGCAGCCATAAACCCTTTAGAACGATACACATTCAAAATCATATCAGTTGAACTTCCTACTTAGAGAAGCAGCAGAGCACATATGCTTTTTGGATGAAAGCGGGATATCATACCTGTGACAGAGGGCAAATTGACTAATGCCAAACAACCATGCTGAGATCTTGTCAGTAATCAGTACAATAAAGTTTATGAAACCAATCACAACTGGTTTAGAATTACCAGTCAATATTTAGGAGCTAAAATAGCAACGTTAAACTATTGCTTAGAGCACCCATAGGACTGTTTTTTACCATTGTGTACCTTCAATCACATTATTAGGTCGCTAATGTACGTCAACCAAGATTGGCCAAGGAAGTTCTTTAAGACGGTGACCCACAACCATATTTACAACGGCGCGTTAAAGTCAGAACTCAATTAACTGATATCGACCCATGTGTCAGACTAACTGTGTCTGAATGATAATAGTCAGCTTCCCAGGTTGGAATAGACGGAGTGGAGCTCGAATCTGAGGTGGCTTATTTGCAGGTATGGGGATTAAGCAAACGAACCACACTCTTAAGCAGGCATCCGACGTACAGATCTCATGAGATGTCACAGTAAAAGATCACAGGTGTTTCACTGAGCAACCTACAGGAAGATGTAATTAAAGACGACCCAATACAGTGGAAAAAGGACTTTCGCTTGACAGAGACTAAGAGATTTCAAGTTAGGGAATAAAACTCCTCAAATAAAGTATAATTATATTTTAATAGTTTACACACAATGATACGTTTTGTTATTGGTAATTTTGCTCGAAATATTTATTTTTTTTATTTTCGTTTACAGCTTGATTCCACACAGTACTTTTGGTAGAAGTATGGAATTTTCAGCATGGATATCGGTAGCCCAAATTTTACAGGCCGACCAATAACAAAACGTATCATTGTGTGTAAACTATTAAAATATAATTATACTTTATTTGATCTAATCCACAATGCTCAAACTTTTTACTGATAATAAAACTCCTACTGTTTGTATATGCAGGATAAATACCAAGTCTACATGCAACGAAGTTGGACATCTGGCTGATCTTTCCTTGTAATTTTTGACTACTTCGACGAAGCCTTAATAAGGCGATGCTGAACAACGGGATTTGATGCCATAAGGTGATAGTACACAAGAATGTACACAAAATTTAAAAAACTGTATCTGGTCGCATAAGGCAGTGACGAGTTAAATGAGATAATAAGGAAACGCAAATTATGGCTGCAGATATGAACCAACAGTAGTACATAGATAAAGACTGGCCTGCATACTGATTACAACTGTAAATACTTGAGGTTCATCCAACAGATGATACTGTAAGTTTTCTTCAATTGGTTAACAACCTTAAGACAGGATTATTATTAATATACATGCGCACACTATCGTTTAGTGACACTAACAGGTTTTTTAAAAGCTTCTTTTGAAGGAAACAAATGAAAAGTCTGTCGAACCACTGACAATTGGCGCGTAGAAACAAGCCAAATAATGGCCAGGCTATAAAGCAATCGACCACTGAACAGACTGCATGACGTCCAACAAAATACACACGGACTATCATCTAGGCATAAAAATAGTGAAATAAGAGCAAGATCTCCAGGGTCTTGATGCTTGCCTCGGTCACTAATGGATGGAAAACATCACTAAACACCCTTGAGCCACAGCGAAATACGCAGTATCACGATACAACACACTTCACTTGGTCCTTATTGCCGGTCGTTTTTCAGATAAATAAGCACGCATTATTTAGGGGAACGTCCGACAGGCCAAACAGAAATCTGGTGGCGGCAATATGTGCTTAACCTGTGGAAAATTTTTTAAAATTACTTTGGTAGAAAAGCATTACGAAATTATGTTATGGCTAGTAATTTCAAAACTACTTCACATTATGCAATTAGTCCTGTGAATATATTAGGCTTCAAGCACCATGATATTTGTGAGACCAGTTACTACTTGAATCAGGTGAAGAACTAAAGTGCTAGGCAAAGCTGTAGAATCTCTATTATGAAGTCAGAAATTCTGTGATCAAATGACCACTTTAACTGAGAGCACAGCACAGTTCCTCACGTGAATCAATACAACGCGGCTGAGCGAAAATTATACGTCTACTGCCACTTTGCCACTTTATAATTCGAACATTGACTCCATTTCCGAGCAGAGGTGGGTGAGCGCACTGTTATTTCTTGACGCTATATAAGTACTCAACACTACTACCACATTCTTGGATGATACGAGTAGTGATTCTGGCAGCTATTTCTGCGGAACTCTGACATTATCAGGTTATACCAACCTTGCAGGATACAAGATGACTGATTAGAATTCGGGACTGCACTTGTAGACACAACTGCCACTGTGAGCTAGGCACAAAAAGTTAGATACATAAGTTCCCACTTAACATGTAGCATTAAAGATTTACAAATGAATAAGAGATTCAAGAAAACAATATCTTCAAGACTACTCTCTTCGCGTAAAAACATAGTGTACACAAATGAAAAAAAGAGAACTACACGTTGAAAACTGAAATACGACTGCTGTGACTATGTACACTGAACCTCCGCAGAGAGAATTATAAAAGTCGCGTACAACTTTGAAGCACACTTCCCTACTCCATACTTTGAAAAGCAACCTACCTAGGAGGAGAAGTTTTAGTTCTCGACGTGCATCCTTTTTGTCACGTTTCAACTGCTTCTCAATCTCCTTATTAATGCGGTTTTGCTCTTTATATTCTTCGCTCCTGCAACAGAACATTGAGATTTTATGGAAGGTATGTGTTGCGTTGGGATAACGATTTCCAGCAGTAGCTTTTGAAGTAAAAACTTAGGCACTGCAAATTTGATTTAAAGCCCAATACACTCATCATAATCCACAACTCTTCACTAGCGCCATCTTCGTGGTCATAAAAGCCACCAGATCTCAGTAACTAAAACAACATTGGATCTTCAATCCTCAAGGTGGATGTTGTGAAAAAAATTTCGGAAATAGGTTGATAATGTTTTGCTTATCGCAAATGATTAGCCTAAGTGAGTTGAATAACTTTCTGTTCAATCTGCATATGTTCTTTCTAGAAACATTTGCTGCGACGTAGTCACTTGAAATGCAGGCCTGACGTTCGGAAACATTTCACCTAGTTAGGAAATGTCATTAAAGACTGGAAATTACCCTGGAGCATAGGCGAAAAATTTCACCCTCTCTAAGTTTGTTTTCAATATCGTGCTGAAGGAGGAGTGGCGAATTAGTTCTAGATCGCCGTATATTAAACCTAAATAGGTTGCTCAAATCTCGGTTAAGCAGAATGTGAGTGAAATCTGGACCCTTAAATAGTGTGGTAACAGTCGGAAGCCCTGCTGCAAACAAGATGGATGGGAAGAATAATTCGGATACAGAGAATTGTATTCCGAATGTTTCAGGTGTCCTTCATGTGCCATGAGTATATATCCTGGAAAACTACTGGTTTTTGTCTTTTTTGTCAGGAGGCATATATCACCGTAGTCGGTTCTTGTGTAGTGTCTACGCCTCTTTTCCAAGTGTCATCATATCTGATATTACGACGTCAATCAATAAACAGTAACCCCATCTACTTATTTTCACTTACCTGTGTTTGCAATCTCTAGCTAACACAGGTATTTCAACTCTGGAAGATTTTGTGGTGATTGCAATGTACTAAGGTGTCATGTGTGGCTCTTTTCTTTCCCTCCACGAATGCATGAAACTTTGTCAAACAGCTAAGAACCAGGCTTAAATATATTTGGATAACATCAACATATCTCATCACACTTACATGAGCTCTGGTTGTGAACACATACATTTTTTAGTGGTAACTCTGACAACACTAGACTCTAGAACCAATCACCAGCCATAAAACTTAATTTCACACAGGAATTATAGCACAGTGCTTCTGTTGTAGTTTGGGATCTCTACAGCAGCATGCAATGGCCACTGAGACCTAGTTAACGATTAGGGATTCCAGGAAGTCGAAACGAGTAACCGAGTAGTAACTACAACTTCCTTATGATTTGTAAGGCTCTCTCTATATTCTGAATGATGAATGCTCTTCCGTGAGTTTGACTAGATTTCCGATTTTAACTGCCCACTACTGTCCTTTCGAAAATAAAGGTTTAGAAATCACAATTCGTCTTCTGCAACAATATGAGCTGTCGGTCGATCATTTGGTTAATTATTTCTATAGAAAACTCAGTTTATAAGTTGGCGAGTCCATTTCAACTTATATTTAGCTTTCTTTTTTGTCACAGTTGACTATGATCTATGTATTTCTTGTTTTTGGATTTTTTTACTTGTTCCTATATTTAATTTCAATCTCCTTGTTCACTACAGTGGGTCAGTTGGTAGGCATGGAAACCAACTTTAAGAACTACATCTGCAGAGGTAATTTCCTAAGTAACTACAAGAACCAAATTTCCCGAATTCGCTCGGCATGACGCGAAACTATGGTCTGCTCAACCAGAAAACTGCTTTTACGGGCACATAATGAAGTTTATAACATCAGGTGCCGACACCTATGTTCTCATTTGCCCTATGAGATTAGCAAGGAGGCGTGAAGACTTCGCATTCCAACCAGGCAACCATAAACAATGCCTAGGCGTGAAGTGATAAAACGCCATTGCGTCGTGGAACCAAGTTACGAAACGATTGCTTCCACGAGTAACATGAGAGATACATCCCCATCGCAGTTTTTACTCGACGTGCGACAGATTTTAGGTGACATTGGTGGAAGCTGTACTAGAACAAGATTTGATGCAAGCCCTTCCGTAGTATGCGCAACAGGCACAGGACACCTGGGACTCCCACTCCTCTCTTTGAAGCTCACGAAGCACCGCCGACCTAATATTGGAGGTGATGACTGAGAGAAGGTCGAGTGAACTATATGAGTGTGTACAAAGACCTAATAATCTCGGAACTTGTGGTTGATATTTGGTCACTAACGTAACAACCGGCACAAATACAACTAACACAGGGCAGACGAGGTAGGTAGCCCAGCAGAGCACGGTTCCGGTCAAAAACCTGTCTCTCACCAATTGGATCATTTGGGTAATTATTTTGATGGAACTGTCGGCTGCTCTAGTAATGAATTGGAAGATTCAAGTGACTTATAAATTGAGTGAATTACTAATATATCCCTAGTGAAATCGTACTGTTTTGACAGTTTCTTTGACTTACTGTTGCATGCCCTCGGAATGTACTCAGCGTGGTTTTTGGGTGGTTTTGAAATCTCCCCACAAGAAAGGGATGTCTCAGTCTCCGGGGTGTCTTTAATAATACATTTGTCCCATTGAGAGCTAGGAATTTTACCCAGTCTGTTTGCTTTCGACAAACTCATTTCATGTCCAGTGAACCGTTGTTGTTTCCTGGATTAAATGAAGGGAAAGGCATTGAGCAGAGTACCATTTCATGGCCTCAACTGGAAGATCTGTCAGCAGCACTCGTGGAAACGGGGGCATGTCGTGACAGAAAGCAAGGTCAAACATATTTTCCCCATGAACAGGAACGAAGTTACCTACACAAGGGTCTTTTCCGGGATCTTTGTGTGAAAACTGGTTCGAGCAGGACGTCCAACCATCGACGTTGCAAGAAGATGACGTAGTTCTTGATGCCAGAAGTCGTACAAGGATGCGAGACTAGTTGAAGTTTTACTGTGGGGTCCCATATGTAGGGAAGGTGATACTTCGGAATGGAGTGTGAGTCATCCGGTGCAAGATTAGAAGGTCTACGCATCAACTTCTAATTCAGTATACCACTAGGCATGCTCTTACCGCTTCTATCACCAGAAAAATGTGGCAGAGTAAGTTGTTTTCGAACATTTGAGACCCGATCAATCAGAATATGGAGCATACTGGTAAGCATTAACTATATTTGTGCCTTGAACCGGTTTCTTGGCATTGTACGTGGGTCTGTTGATGCGCTTGTTCTCAGTATGCCTATTGAATACGAATTACTCCTCACAATTGTCAGCCAGAATCCTGTGGAATTTGTTCACCGTAGTGTGATTGCGTTTAGTCAAACCTTTCTTTGGGCCACAAACAACGTTGCCTACTATCGAAATACCTCTTCGCACAGACTGGATAACAGGACACTGATGTCTGAATGGTCTTCTAGTTGCATTAGCAAGCATGCGGGTTGTGGGGTTTACCGAATGCGATTGTTTATACTAGCTGGTGATTCAGGTACACGACCAGCTTACTGCAATTTTAATCCCAGAGAGGTGAAGAAATTATAGTTGCACAGGTATACGCGCTCAAAATGTTTTACCCTTTGCTGTTGTAATATACTTAAAACTGCTGTTTAATCTCAAATTCTCTTGAAATCTAGTAAAATAACTAACATCAGGATATTAAATAGACCTGGGACCAATGAAGATTTGACCTGAAAATGCAGCTGTCATTAGTGTGACTCAGCCAGCACAGAGAAACAAGACGGGTCACTGAAATCTAAATGGCCGGGGTCCAATTGAATTGAGGACTTTCCTCGATATCCCACATTATCATCAGACTACGAAACTGAAAGGATCACAATGCCGATTGACTGTAATCTGTAAGGAGTGCATTCAGTGACTGAGAAAAATTCTAGTGAAACTAATTAACCTTGCTATGTGAAGACTCCCCCAGGGTGGACACTTTGTGGACAAGATATAATGACATCCAAGGAGAGACTGGTATTGTGAACAGTAATTTAACTGCAGATAAATGGAGACTAAGTTTGAAAATTTTTATAATGTGTTCGATGACGCTAGCAATCATTCGCCCGTGTCTATCAAAGATTATAAAGCTCTCAGCGTAATGTCTGAACCGATGCAATTAGTTGATGGGCATTATCGAGTGACTTTATTGAGTATCCCTGTTAACTGTACAGTCGTAATCCATCGCTATGGTGATTTAATGACAGGTGTTATTTTTTACATGCTTTATAGATGAAATTTTGTATCAAGAGAATTTTATGACGTACATAATGTCGGCGACATAATGTACTTGGACCGCGATACACTTGTCACGCTTGTATCAGGAATTGTTGCTTGATACTCGTATATGCACAACATAACGGGTTAGATAAGACAGCAAGTTCAAAATTTAAACGTACATTTTTGAATTTTCACGGAAACATGCTAGTATATACGGCCTATTTAATGATTTTTCATTGTCTTAATCGATATGACAGTTGTTGATATACATAAAGTAATTTCATTAGGATAAGTTTTCATTTACTCAGCACAATCTGCTGTACATTTTAAGACACAAATCATAGGCATATAAAAACATTGCGTAGCACTTTTATGAACTTGTTCTTCAGGTGGCATTTATTTTGGGGAGAGATTTATTTACCGTGATACTCTGATTTCAAAAACTTAACTTAGGTTCATACGTGGAAGAAGGTTATTAGCTTAGTTGGAATAAGGACAAATTGTTCGGAAGTTAAGGAAGATTTTATTCCCCAGTTTACTCGTGCAAACACACCTGCACGTCTAGGTGCTCCGCAGTTGCAAATGAGGCAAGAGATTATGAGTACCCTTCCTCCCTTCAGCATAAGAGAATTAATAAAACAGGAATTACCTCACAAGGTCCTCTACATTAGGTTCAGTAAAAACCAATAGAAGTTTCTCCACTTCAGCAGTATGTGAGTGAGGTTATAAGATGTGTATGCCCCTATAGTAACACATTTGCCATGGAGACCTCATAGTGAAATCAAAAGAATATATATTTCACCAAATATTATGCACTTCCTGTATGGATTTCATGTTC